TGGCTGTAGTTTGGACTGTAGTCTGGACTGAGGTCAGGACTGTAGTCAGGACTGTAGTCTTGGCTGTAGTTTGGACTGTAGTCTGGACTGAGGTCAGGACTGAGGTCAGGACTGTAGTCTGGATTGTAGTCTGGACTGTAATAATCAGTGACGGACTGGCTGCTGTCAAAACTGTTGGGGAAACAATGGTTTGAAGTTAATCGTGTTTGTCTTTGAAGAGTACGCTCCCAGAGTGGATGTGTCAGGACTGGTGGCAGGGATCCTGGCTGTCCTGGTGTCTGCTGTTATTGCCACAGTGCTGGGAATCTACTGCTACAAAGCCAAGCAGAAGGGTGAGCGGAGGTCAACCCAGTAAGTTCTCCCTGATGTGGACCATTTTTTCTCCAGTTAAGTGAGGGATGTGGAATAAAATGGTCCATCAGACATTTTAACTCTGCTGGCCATGACGTCTGGTGTGGATATTTATTGCCTTCAGATAACAATATCTAATGACCTCAGTGACCCCTGACCTTTTTTTTAGCTCCACCATCTGGGGAAAATCTTCACTTGTATACAACACGATCTATAAAAACAGGAAATCAACATAATCAAACATAATTACCATCACACTTCCTGAGAACATTTATATTTGCCTTAGACTTGATGAGCTTCACAGGAACTAAACTGACTTGTCAGTCTCTGTGCTGGTCCAGAGCTCCAGTCAGGATGGCAATAGATGGGCGCCCGGCCCCGGAGATGGTGCCCCTGTCTGGGATCACTGTTCCTGGTCTACCCAGCTACAATGAGGCTCTGAACCGCAGTGGACAGCATGATGCCCCACCACCACCTTATTCGGGGTAAGTGGATGCTCCAGTACACACATCTTACCTGGATCAGGTCTTCCCAAGGTTTCTTCAGGTTTCCCAAGATCCTTCTGTTCTGAGACAGCAACACACTTAATATATATAACATCACCATTGATAGGGAACTTTCAACTGGGATGTGGCTGTCCTGAACCCTAAGCTAATGTCATTACTGAAATCATTTTATGCTTCTGCGCCGACGACAGCCAGAGTGGGATTCGGGTTGTCCGTCTGTCCATCCGTCCATATGTTCCATTCTTGTGGACAAGATATCTCAGTAACGCCTTGACAGAATTTCTTCAAATTTGGCACAAATGTTCACTTGGACTCGAGGATGAAAAGGTCACTGTGACCTCACAAAACACTTTTTAGCCATTACTCAAGACTTCACACAGCAATTATGTCAAAATTTCACACAAATTTTGAATATTTTTTATGACTCTTTATATGATTTTATATTTTATATGTTCGGAAATCTGAAAATCAGAACTTTAAGGAATGTTACTCACACACACCTACAGTTCATTCAGAAAGTTTTCAGACCGCTTCATTTCACATATTGTGCAGCCTGATGCTAAAATCAATCTACACTCAATTCCCTATAATTACAAAGGGAAAACAGAAATAAATGAAATAGAAATGTAGCTCAGGTTCCTCCATTTCTCTGCATCATCTCTGAGATGTTTCTCCACCTTGACTGGAGTCCACCTGTGGTGAACTCAGCTGATTGGACATGATGTGTAAAAGACACACACCTGTCTATATCAGGCCTCACAGCTGACAAACAGATCAGAGCAGAAACCCTGAGGAGGAAGGAGCTGCTGCAGAGCTCAGAGACAGGACTGTGTCCAGGCTCAGAAACATTTCTGCTGCACTGAAGGTTCCTGAGAAGAACAGCGGTCTCCCTCATTCTGACATGAAGAAGTCTGGAACCAACAGGACTCCTCTAGAGCTGGACCTGGACTAACTGAGAAGGAGATGGAGAAGCTCTGGAGTCCTGATTGTTCCTGTTTTTTTCTCTGAGCTAAACCCCATGTGAAGTAAAGTGTCTGAATAATTTTGTCAATGTGATATTTCAGCTTTTACTTTTTTGATAAATTTGTAAAAATTTACAACATTTTTAACACAGTCAGTCAAAGTATTTCAGTGTAATCTCCATCTCAGTAAAATTCTGCAATGTGACGTATGTGAGCTAAAGGTAAGAGGCCATTTATGCACCGGACCCCTGGGTAGGGCCAGGGTCATTTAGGATACATATATACTGAGATGAAGTGTTACACCTGGTAAGTGATGGGCAGGATCAGAGTCAGGGAACCTTTCTGAACCTCTCCTGTTGATACGTTCTTCTTCTCTTGCTCTGCTCATCCAGTGTTTTGTGTATATTGTGTGTATCATGTCCTGGCTCCTCTCTGTGTGTACTGTGTGATGAACCCGGTCTCTTGGCTGCTGCAGCTTGGAGCAGCTCTCTGCTTCTTCCTCTGCATTCACACCAAAACAGCCAGCAGCTAATCTCAGTGTGCTGCAGCCCTTTCTCTCTCTCTCTCTCTCTCTCTCTCTCTCTGAAGCCTCTTTCCAGGAACAGAGAGCACACACTGTCTCACTGCTGTGTAGAAGAATGCTCACAGAGGTTCTTCCTGTCTTTGACCACAGGGGGGCGCCATCAGAGCCCGCTGATCCCGGAGACAACGAGTGAGATGGGCGGGCAGAGCCTCCTCATTTGGCTGCTGGGACCTGGAGCTTCAGTCAACTTTTAAATGTTGCATTTTTACATGTGTGTGTATGTGTGTGCTTGTGTGTATGTGTGTGTTTGTGTGTGTTTGTGTGTGTGTGTGTGTGTGCTTGTGTTGTGCGCGTATTTATGAGTGACGTCAGAACACTGTCCCGCGCACCAGTGACAGTGTGATGTGCACGTGGGCTGAACACCAGTCTGTCCAGTACAGATGTGAGGAGGGTGGGGTTCATTTTTGTAACACCCCCCCCCCACCACCACCACCAGCTGTGTGGAGGTAGAGGTAGTTCGTAGAGATCATGTTTACAAAAAATAAATCACGTCACAGTCAGACGCGTCTCCGATCATTATTCATCTACTGTAACTCAGCAGGCCAAAGGCAGTACATGCTGTGTGTGTGTGTGTGTGTGTGTGTGTGTGTGTGCGCGCACATCATGCTGCAGCTTGTGTGTCTGTTGTGTTACAGTCACACAGCTGACCAGGCTCTGTCTCTACGGTCTTCTACAATGCTACACCACTGCGCTGCCTTGGATGACAAATCGTGTGTGTGTGTGTGTGTGTGTATGTGTTTGTGAGAGAGAGAGAGAGGGCGAGCGAGGGAGGGAAGCAGAGGATGAACGCCAGCCCAGTCATTCCTCTTAAAAATGGCGTCTTGTGAAGCAAATGAGCGAAAATAGTGAGAGAGCGGAGGCAGCGAGCGGCGGAGCAGCTGGATCCGACTGGATGCGGCTTCGCTCGGGGAAGCTGCTGCTGAAGAACGCGGAGCATCTGTTCCACGGCCCATCCGCTTCACACAGGAGACAATAGACAGTGAAATATATGGAGAGGAGAGGAGGGAGGAGGTGCTCCTGGCTGCTGTGACCCCCCCCCCTCCCCGCTCCTTCTCCTCCCTCCATTCCTCCCAGTCTACAGGCTCGTCAAGCGGAGAAATAAACAGAAGCGAGCTCAGAGAACAGAAGACATTCCTCCCTCCCCTCCCCCTCACTATCTGTTCATCTTCATCCAGCCCTTTCTTTCATGGAGAGGAATTATCCCGCTGCAGGCTTCGGAGATCTGGGGGCTGGGACGGGATGGAGTTACGACAGATCGGCCAAAGCAAGGTAAGCTTCGGTGGCCGAGGCACGGGCACCACGGGCTCCAGTGAGCTGGAGTGGCTCTAACAATGCCACGGCACAGCGCTGCCTGCGCCTCTGCATTCAGCCAGGCTGCACGGTGCTGCTGCTGCTGCTGCTTGGCCACCAGTCTCAGGTACAGCAGCCGTATTGTCATCGGGGAGGGGGGGTGTGGGGGCTGTCTCTAAAATGCATGGAATGCGATGGAAGGTTAATAGTGATACGGAGACAGAGGAGAGGGAGAAGGGGGATGGGTTGCTGGAAGCCCAGTGTGTTATTTCAAAAATGGAAGATTACATCTGGGCTCTGGCGGCATTGTCCCCGCTGCAGCTTTGTCTCGACTCGGACGGAACAGATGCATGACAGGGACAGTCGCAGGTTGCCTGGTACGGTACTAATTGGCTGTAGCCCACAAATCAAAGCAGCGCGTTGCACAGAGCTGCTGCCTGACAGAGACACACAAACCTTGCACTCTGTGTAACACAGCACAACAACTCATGTCGTGTCAGTGCGGAGCAGCAGTTTATTTCTTCATCTCACACCACAGTCTTCCTCCAAACTAACCGGGGTTACCGCAGCCAGCTGCCGGGGACAGCTGCAGGACGGTGTCGGCTAAATCAGCTGAAATGTGGCCGAGGTTCTGAGTGAACTCTGCCACTGTAAACACACTGTACCGGCCGGCGTGCTCCCACTGCCCCGCAGTACTCACGTTATATTTTTGTAGATATATGTGTGTGTGGTGTGTGTGTGTGTGGTGTGGTGTGTGTGTGTGTGTGTGTGTGTGTGTGTGTGTGTGTGTGTGTGTGTGTGTGTGTGTGTGTCAGTAGTATCTGACAGCCTGCTGCAGCTGCCACACACACGGCAGCTAACAGGCTCCTCTCCTCCGGCCCACGGGACCGGCGGGACGCTGGCTCAGACTCCCGGCCCGTCCTCCGGTCTGCGCCTCGGTGTACCTGTGCTCTGGTGAGAACGCTTTTCCTTCACGTGCCTGCATACGTGTTGGAATGGAGCGCGGCCTCGAACCATGCTAACATTAGCTACCTCCCGTTTAGCTTTACTCCACGTTAGCGGTCGCCTTGACAACCACATCAGTTCTCCGTCAGACCCCGCGGGCTCCATCTCTGGGAGCTCGGTGTGCCGCCAGTCCGTTCCGGGTTTGCCTGTCCATTCAGACCCAGTGTACACCTTAGTGTAAACTGTACCTGTCTGAGGTGGCTGTCAGACCTGGTACTGGTGTGTGTGACCCAGACTGATGTGAGAAAACGTCTGATGTGCTGATGACCAACAGCCACCCTCATGGATTTAATTAGCCTACCCTCAGCAGGTGTCTGAGGGAGGTCTGACTGAACCTGGTCCCTGGTTTCTGCTGCATATACCTGTGCTCATTTTCTCAGAGCTCTGCCTGGTGAAGAGAACAGTGAGTGTGGTGTGAGTGGCAGCTAAAGAGAACCTACACAGATAGATAGATACTTCATTTACCCCCTAAGGAAAATTCAAGTGTCCAGCAACCTGCAACCTGATGGCAGTGGATCAATCCAGGCGAAGGTGATTTTAGATTTTAAAGCTTTAACTGGATCAGGAGAGGACAGTGAAGACTTTACTGTCAGAAAAATTATCTAAATCTGTACTGGTTGATTAAAGGTTCTTTACTGGTTAAAGACCAACATGGTCAGGTGTGGACACCTTTAATGGTTAATAAGTCTGAATTTGTCATAAAATGCTTTACCAGTTTTTTAGGATATATACACTGTTTAGGTATAACATACAGTGGCCCTGAGCTCAGCGCACTGCAACTTTAGAAAACACATGCAAATAGACAAAACACAAACAACTTCAGAAAAAATCTTCATCAGTGTGACAAAACATGCGCTGCAAATACTCGCAACACAACCAACTACACAAATGTGGTTGTGTTGTGAGTATTTGCAGTGCGTGTGTTGTCAAACTGATGAAGGCGTTTTGTTAAGGTGCGGTGCATTGAGCTCTCAGGGCCACCGTAATAACACCTGGACACATGTAGTAACACATGAGCCTGTCGTGGCTCAGGATTAAACCAGAAAACTTTACTGAGTGAGGAACAAACTGTGGTAAAGAACCAGTGTAACGAGCAGAGGAAAATCCCATTAAAGCTGCAGCCTCTCTAACCAGAGTACAGTCTGTCAGTGAGTGAACGGGAGTCCTCTCCTCAGTGACGAACAATGAGATAAAACTTGTATTAGAGTTAAACTGGGTCATTGCAGCAGCAAATAATCACAGGAACAGAGTGAAGAAGAGGATCATGGGGAGCTGTAGCTGTAGCTGTGGTAGAGAACTGTTACATCTGCATGTCTCTGAGTTCAGCTGTTCACGCAGTCAGCAGCAGTCTGCCTGACTGTGGATCACTGTGGTGTCACTCACCGCTCTGCACATGATGTTTGTACTATAATAGAAACCTGTTCAAATACAGTTCAGTTCCACACATCAGTCATATACAGAGGTCAAAAGGAGAACCTTTAAAAACAGCTGAGTTACCGGTTTATCTGAGGACCTAACACATCGAGGATGCGCTCGAAAAGTCAAAATGATCTCCTTTCCTAACCACTTCTCCTTGACCTTGATGGAAAACGTCATGAGTTCAAGGAAAGATGTGAAGGAGAATTCATAAGGACTGAGGAAAAGAATCTGACTGCACTTACGCTAGGTTTTTTTTTATTTTTAGCTAACTTAATTTATAACACATGGAGGATAAATCCTCCTTTCATAACCACAAAAACAAAGCAAACTCGAATGAAATGTTGAAATAAGACAACATTAAAGAAAAATACAAAGTTGAGCCATTAAAATAATAATTCAATAGAAATGAGGAGCTGAGCAAGAGATCAGAATAAATTATTTTCAGACAGAAGTTTATAGTTTCCTGTCAGTCATTTGACATTTCTATACATTTGTTAAGTGAAGAAAATAAATTTTTAGTGCTTTAAACAAAGGGAGGGGATTTAGTGAAACAACAATGATGTATAGGCTATAGTATTTTATTATGATGATGATATTGTTCACTATAAATTCAACCTGCTTGTTCTTCATGACTCCTGACTGGATTTAAAGAGAAGAAATCTGTTTTTATGGATTTGGGCTTCAGTCGATCAGACAAGGATTTCCATCAGTTCTGGATCGAGTCACAAACACAGACCAGTTTCTCTGGTGTTTCTACATTTATGTGGCTCTGTTGAGATGAGACTACAATGATGCGTCACTGTAAATGTGGTTGCACCAAGGAATTGTGTGACAGCATTTCTCCTTTGCTTTTGTAAAGGAGATACGATAGGGAGCACTGAATCTCCTTTCCTTATCACCTAGAGAAGTGGACGAGCTCTGATCATGGCTGCTGCTCAGATACTTCAGTTCATTTCACTCAGTTTGAACCCTCCTATGAAAAAAAGACATTTCAACCACAGCCCTAGTCTGATTAGGGCTGGGTATTGCTCAAGAATGTTTAGTATCAGTGCTGATTCTAATACTATGACTTAAAGATTCCTAACAATACTTTTTTTAATACAGATTTTAGCAAATAAAATGACAACACACAGTACAAGTTTTGGCTTTACTTAGCTTTTTATGCTTAAACTCAGTATCATACTCACTCAGATTAAATCACCAGCATTATTAGATCCTGGTCCAAGCATGCTGCATGCTGATTGGCTCACTGAGGCTGATGAGATTTACTTATTTACTACTGAGGTATCAAATGACAAGACATGTTTCAATCCTCGATAGAATCCAACCATTTTAAAAAAAAGATTTTTTGGGCATTTTTTGCCTTTATTCTGACAGCACAGTGAGAGAGAGAGACAGGAAAGTCAGGGAAAGAGAGAGGATGAGACAGGCAGCAAAGGGCCACAGATCTAGCAGCTAGGATCATAAAAGTGTCGGTGTTAGATACCCAGCCCTGAGTCTGATGTGGATGAGACTGGTCCAGTTATTAGTGTAGTGGACACACAACAGAACTGTTGTGCACTCTGGAATAGTTGATCAGAATCGGTTCCTGTGTAACACATGGTGAGGTTTGTTATGGAACGTAGGTCTACAGTGTACAAACAGAGGAAACAGTGAGAAGCTGTTGTTGGTTTTAAGGTGTTTGTGGTTGCGTTGTGTTGGTGTGTTCGTGTTGGGAGACAGATGTTGTTGGAGCTGGAAAATGTGGGAAATGTTTGGAGGCTGGATAGTGGACAAGTGTGTCTTATCAACTGTGTGTTAGTGTGTGTGTGTGTGTGTATATGTTACAAGACAATAATAGAACCATCCAATCAGAATCAAGAACTTTCAGTGGTATGTGTCCTCACAGCATCTACCTGAAGTATTTAACCTGCTGTTTCTCCATGTTCTCATGAACAGGATCTACTGTGGAACAAAAGAAACTAGAAGATGTGTGTCTTAGTTCAGACTTTGTTGAAGACTACTCTCTCTCTCTCTCTCTCTCTCTCTCTCTCACTATAAAAATTTAGTATCACGATTATAGTGACCAAAGTGATCACCGTTATCAGTATTATCATGGTATTGTTAAAATGTGCTGAAAATGTTCAAAAAGTAATAACTTTATCATGGACACAACAAATAATTAATTGGCAGCACAGGACAAAGAACCAGTAGCACTACTGGGTTTGCCTGCTGCATGCCCACTCTGTTAATAAGAGAATAGCAAATGTAACATTATTATTATCATTATTATCAGAGCTATGGCGTCTATCAGAGCACACACACTGTAGACACACCTGTCACCTGTCCAGCACGGTGCTGTTAAACCAGAAACACTGCAGCTACACTGCGTTGATGAAAGAAAGAGTGAGCTGCAGCCCTGAAATAAGTATCAAAAACACACAATCCGACCGGAGCAACAACCTGGCTATGAGACAGATCTGTTTTACCAGTTTGCACGGCACAGTGGGAAATTGTGTGTTTTGGTTGTAACTGCAGGGTTTGTGGTAGATGGGACAGACGATGACAGGTGGTGGCTGTAGCGGGTTGCTTTTTGAGTGGCAGTGTATAAGGAGTCAGTTGCCTTTTCTTAGTGGGTGTACCTGTAAAACTCACTTATACCTGCTAACTGCCTTCCTTTCTGCCTGAGTGCAGAGAGTGTTTCTGTAGTCTGAGCTACACAACAGAGGTGGCTTACTTTCTGCTTTGATAACAAGCAATCCAAAGACCCTCTTTGATCTGGTCAAGGCAACTCAACTTAACTTGCCTACTGTTACTCTTACAAAGGTCAAGCCATGTCAGAATCAAACACTAATACACATTCAACAGTGACACCCTCATCACTGACAATGAACACAGTTTCTAGGTCTTGCATTTCACATACTGTATAAGGAATCTGGTACCTGAGCAGTAATATGAAATACACTTTTAAAGTAGTACAATTCCAGCTTTTAAAGTTCTGAGAAAAAAAAATCGAATTCAATGCTGTGAAAAATGTTCAGCCATTCAGTACACACATCATCTATAATCAATAACACGTCCTGATGAAGTAGAGAGCGCTCACGGTCTGATATGGGTATTTTGATCCCCTGGAGATTCTGCATTTTAAAAAGGGTTTTGATTCACTTTGTCAAACATTTCATTCATCATCAAATCCTGTTCTGCTCACAGTTTGATTTGATTTCATGAATTATATCTGTAGACCCCTCCAGAGTTCACATGTGGTTTTTAAGAAGTGATTATTTCACTCAGCTTTAAATAACTAAACTAAACCAAGATACTTCCCCATAGATGAGAATCAGTGTTGTTCAGTTCCTGTGCTGAGCCATGTGATAGGCCATTGCTGGTTTCCGTGACAACAGAAATAAAAACTGTAGATCAGGTATTGAAGCTGAAGTGGAGACCGTTACTTTGGTTTAACATCAGCTGGGTTCTCCTCTACCTCCTCCATCCTCATACACACAGAGCATTTCTTCTTCATGTGTGTGTCTCATGGTGTGGACAGAAAGTAGTCCCTCCAACTCAGACTTGTTTAAAATGAATTTCACTTTAAACTTAAACATCTCTCAGCCAACACCTAGTGTTATCCTCATAACAACAATTTAATTTAGAAATATATATATGTAGGAAAACATGGAGAAGTAGATATATGATGCACAGGTGATGGATGTGACAGAAGAACATTTTTTCTGCCTGAACAGCTAAAGAGGGAGAGGAACAACACACTGCAGTCAGACCAGCAGCTGGAACTCTGGCTGTCACTGGAAAGGATGCTCTTCCTTAGCTGTCAGCTGTTTACCACAATGATTCCCAGGAAGATGGGACGTCCACCTACTTTAAGTTCCTCTGCACACATGTTTAGTTAAACACTGCACTGGAACTGGCAAACCGACTCCATCCAGTCCATGCTAAAGTTGATCTATCTCAGCTGGTCAGAGGACTCAGAAACTCTCTGTTATCAGAGGCGTATGTCCTCTGCTGATGGAGGAATGAACTTTCCCCTGATATCAAAAGGCTTCAGTACAGTTAGATACCAGGTAGGAGGCCTTCAGGTCAGCAACGTTAACTGAGGTTGTGAACTGTAACACTGGTCTTTGACTGTCTCACCTCATCCCACTGGTTTTTCCTTAAGAGCTGACTGTTTTGTCTCCAGGTGTCAGAGTAACTCAGTTACTCTTCCTCCACTGCACGTCTGCATGACCTTTGACCCCTGTACAGGTCCACGGTCAGGGGTTTGGAACCTCTGGATTAGAAGGGAGGTGTTGGAGTCACTCATACACTTGTAAACGGGCAGAGAGAACATGTTTGAGTGTACTGAATGTATGCACATTTTTCTAACAGATGTAGAGTAACAGAGAGATAATGGAGACTGTATGTATACACAACAAGAATTTAAGACTTAAATCTGACATACTGTCTGTTGAGGTAGTCCAGTGTTTGGACCTCCACCACAGAGTCATGTTAAATCCTTGGTACCAGTGACTTTGAGGCAAACCCCCCCCCCCCTTCTGTCTCCACTCTGTGTCCAGGTATTTCCCTGTGGATCTCTAACCCAAACTCACAGCCTGCAGGTCTCATGCACTGTACTGAGTGGACCAGAAACCACCTGTTGCCTGAAAGTGGCCCAGTCTTCAAAGACTATGCCAAAATCAATAAGAGAACGAAAGTTCCCACCTGTCCTCAGGTGTGTTTGTGTGTGTGTGTGTGTGTGTGTGTGTGTGTGTGTGTGTGTTTTGTCAGGGACTGTAGACTCCTGTGGTCCCAGGACTCCAACCACACTGAAACACCTGTTGGGATCAGTAGTCAGCATGTCCAGATACAGATCCATCACCTGATCAAACAGCTGTCAGAAACACTGTCAGTACCACTTCCTCTTCCTCTCTCCTCTCTCCTCTTCCTCAGTCCCAAGGACAGCTTTCTGAAGTGTGAGCCAATAGGCTGATGATCCCCAGAGTCCTTTAGGATCCACACTGACTCAGATTAAAGGACCAGTTGTGGAGCTTCATGTTTATGCAAAATAAACATCATTCTTTAGGAAGTGAGCCAGGTGAGGGAGCACATCTGATAAACTCCTCCCTCATATATTGAAATGTTAAAAGTCAGTGATTAGGCTGACCTCATATGTCACATTTCATCAGCTCTGTGTGTTTTATCGGTTATTATTAAAACAATAACAAAAGACGGTGTTGGGTGATGTCATGAAATAGTGTGGGATCATGTGAGTTGCTGTCTTCACCATCATTACAGTAAGATCCTCCTGGTTTGGATTCCTTCAGTGTCAGTGGTTCGGGAAATCAAACACACCCGGTGATTCTCACCCTTCAAAACACTGAATGAAGCAGTTTCACATTTAAAGTCAGTGTTTGAGCGACGCTGTACGGAGGACAGAGACTCAGGGAAGAGCTGGAGCTGAGATCGATGCTAACCTTTGTTTCTTATTAAGTTATGTTTTTTGCCTTTACTTGATAGTACAGTGAGAGGTAGACAGGAGCTAACATTTGTTTTGATTGTTTCTTTAATAACTTATGAACCAGACATTCAGCAGGTTTTTACCAGCAGCTGAATTATCCACAGAGCTGAAAACCACCAAGGTGTAAAAAGTGTGTGTCACTTAAAACTAGATAAAAGTCAATGATGAGCTTCAGTCAGACAAACACACTGACACACGATCATAGAGGATATGATGTCATTGACAGGCGACAGGATGTTATTGGACCTTGTAGGAAAACAGTGAGAGTAGATGTTGTAAACAGGTGAAAGGGCAAACTGAAGTCCAGGTCCATCAGTCTGACTAGTTCTGTATGAACCAGCTTCTTAGTACGGGACTCTGGTCCATCAGTGTATTCCTGTATGAACCAGCAGACTGAACAAATCCTAAAAAAAGTCAAACCTGATGTGTTTCAGCCTCGTGTATGGGAGCTCCAGGTCATCCCACCCAGACTCAGAGCTGCTCCACCGGCAAGCCTACGGCACCCCCCACCCCCTCCAGGGCTATGCAACCAATCACCACCCAGGAAGCTCCAGACAGGGCGGGGCCTGGGGCGCCGCTGGACGCACACTAGGTAAGGATTAATTGGATGGTGTATGTCTGTCCTTTGACGACTTTATTACAGGTTTACTATTTTTCATCACATCACTGTTGAGACTCTTAATGTTAATCTGTACGTACTACAGGGAACCATAAGGGACAAATAGAGCGATAACACGGGTGCTCTGTGATTATAGTAGAACATATTTCTAAACAAACATTCAGTGGAGAAAAATAAAAATATATTTATATCTGAATCTCAACAAATGATTTAATGAATGAAAATTCTGCTGTTTTTTGTCAGACAGTGAGATCAATATTTCAGATACATCAAATATCAAACAAACGTGTCCCATCTGTTATAGTATGTCATAGTATGTAGTTGTCATAGAGCACTGCTGGTCACAGTCCAGTGATGGTTACGCAGGTGCTTAGCAACCTGCTAATGCAAAGCTAAATCTGTGTGATTTAGTGTTTATTAACTGTTTAAACCTGCTACCTTTGTGTCTAATTCAGTCGCAGCCAAATAATTACATGTATGAAAGCTTGGTGGTTGAAATATGTTGTCTGAAATGTATGGATAAATCAACTCTCTCGAAGAGTTAAATCAATTAAAATGTAAATAAAAGCAGGCTAGTCTTCCTAATGTAGCCTGATGAAATGTGGTCTGTCATCTTAAATTACCATTAACATCGAAGCGTTGTTTCAATTAACATCAACAAATAAAGTCTGATTTTTGCTGTAATTATGGCTGTATGTCTGCACTTTTTTTCTTTTTGAATTTATCCATGTTTGTACGACGGAGTATTAGGGCCACATTGAGGAAAAAAAAGAAATCTGAAATTTTGAGAATAAAGTCATAATATTACAAGAATAAAGTTGTAATATTATGAGAATGAATAAAATTATAAAAAAATTTTGAGAGAAAAAAAACATAATTTTTTAGGAATATTACATCAACCCATCAAACAGGTGAAAGGACAGTCAGTGGCAGCCTGAGCTGCTTGTGGCAGCTGCTGTTTGTCTGTCTAACAGTAGAATAGACTCAGTTTCTTCACAATCTTTTTAATGTCCTGATGATGATGATGATGATGATGATGATGATGATGATGATGAGGATGATGATGATGATGATGATGAGGATGATGATGATGATGATGATGATGATGATGATGATGATGATGATGAGCCAAAAGATGAAGTTTCTCCTTATTTGTGAAACCAGCTAAAGTAGAACTTCACAGGATGCTCCACGTTCCTCATTTTAAAGCTTCTGATATTTCCCCTCTAAACCAACATGGAGCCTAACATTATAAAGTCATAATTAATTTAATTGAAATGTGATTTTTTTATTCTCAAAATTGCAACTTTATTCTTGTAATTTCAGATGTCTTTATTAAATTAAAATGTCACAACAGCTGAGTTAAAATACAATAAAATACAGTAAAATACAAAAGACAAAAATACACAGGATTCAGTTGTACAATAAAAATGAGAGGTAGATAAATATAAATAAATAAGTACAAGAATTCAGAAGTAATGGGAAGTAAATATCTAAAAACTGCTCTGTGAGACAGGATCCATGTTTCTCCTCGCCATGATGAGAACACATCAGTTATCCCAGTTAACACTCAGGAAGGGTTTGTGTCAACGGGGAGTGAAAGTAATCTGCAGTAAAGACATGATGTGTGTGAACACAGCTGCAGAGAACAAGAGAGCAGCCTGTGATCTCTATTTGTGAAGTACCTCCACAAACACAGTGTTAACAGCTGACATGAGCTGCAGGGTCCAATTCAATTATAATTTCAATTCAATTATAATTTCTATTCAGTTGTGATGCAGCTCTGTGAGAAGGTTTCTTTTAATAACTGATAACGTCGGGGTGTTTGAGGAGGTCTCCACAGCTGGTTCTCTATGAATGTAGGAGAAAGAAACAACAAACATATGTTTGTTGTAGTAAATCTCTATAACTGCGATGAGACATGAAATGACATATAACTATGTTTCAAAATGGAGGTTCCATATATTGACTGTAAATGTTCTGTATAATCATTTGGCTTCAAATCATCTGTCACGGTTACATCAGTTCAACAGCAGAGAAAACTAGACTGAAGAATCAATAACACATCAGACACTTCAACATGTTTCCTGTTTACCTGTGAGTGACAACACAACACAAAGTTATCGTCCCTGAACAGTAGAGAACTAACTAACCATCAGGTACAACAGGCTCCGGGTTAAAATTGCCAGTATCGTCCAGGCTGGGGCTGTGATTAGCAAACACTGGATCCCAGCTGCAAAGATTTTACTGCACAGCATGACTTGTGTTTACATGACATTTATATGTGCGGGGACGTGTCAGGTAGAGAGTTTCTTCAGTGCAGTTGTTGCACTGTTGGAGGGTGGGGCTGATCGGCAGCAGGTGAGAGCTTCTCACAGAAAAGCAGAGCAGACAGTGTGACTGTGTTTATGCTCCCATATGGTTCTTACTTCCTGAAGCCACTGTATGTTGTGATAAACTAACTAACTAAACTGCTGTTAAATGTAACTTTAATTAAGTAATGTTAGTTTCACGACTGTTGAGCAGCTGTTTTTATTTTCCCATCTCACACAACTTGGTTTTTAGTTTCCAATATTTAAATAATTGATTCATTTATCAATACGTTTATGCAAAAATAACTTGTAACTGAGTAATAACTGCGTTTAACTTGTTTACTTTGGTCTCTTACTGATTTTATCTTGGGCAGAACTGGATGTCCCATGGCTCTTCTTAGTTCAAACACTAATGCCATAAAATTCTCAATTTGATAATATTGATTAACAATATGCAGGATCATAATTATTAAACTGATAGGGAATGAAAATGAAGGTTTTGATGGTGCTACAGCTACATTTTCTCATATGAGACAAACAGTGTAATATAAATGGAGGGCAGGTGATTAACTTCATAGATGAAAATGGTTCATATGAACTTCTGGAGGGTGCCAGAGCAGGATGGTGGTGTCACTGTGGATATGGTGATGATGATGATGATGATGATGATGATGATGATGATGATGATGATGATGATGTGATCTTTCATATGATTTGTATGAATGAATTGAGGGTTGTGGTTTGTCGCCAGGTCTGTCGGGACTGTTTGATGCCAGCCTCCACCATGCTGGCCCCTCAGGTCCCGACCCCTCCGTCATGAATCTGATCTCAGCTCTGGAGTCCCGAGGTCCACAGCCCCCGCCCTCGGCTTCCTCCCTCCTATCCCAGTTTCGCACTCCCTCTTGGCAGACTGGTGAGTGTCCACCTGTTAGAGGAATGGTACACTTAAAAAAAGCAACTAATTTATCATTAGTCTTTGTTACCACTGAAACACTATTGTTTCTAATATACACTCATTTTATTCATTGATTGATTATTTTCCAAAAAGTAAAAAGTTTGTAGTGTCAAACAGAAAAGCTGGTGAGTTGATTGGTGACTTGCGTTGACCAACACTGTCCATGTGATATTGTGTCCTGTAGCGATGCACACACCGGCCCCCCCGGAGCTCTTTATTTCAGGGGCACTTCCGGGGTCCAGCTCCTTTCCCTCCTCCTCAGCCCTGTCTGCGTACCAGCATCCTGGCTCCTTCTCTGGCCGATCGTTCACTCCCTCACTGTCCCTGCAGGACACGCCTACGTTTAGCCCAACGTCCAATGGTTTGCTCTCCCCCCATGATCCCCTGCTGCACATCAAAACCCCCTCCCAATCCAGTTTGGGCTTTGATCGCTTACTGTCTTCCCAGAGTGCCACCTACCGGGGCTCCCAGGAGCCCCCTGCCCCTCCTCAGACCCAAGCCCCTTCCACCTCTTCCAGTTGCCACCTGCCCCCTCCCCAGTTCAACCTGCTATCCTCCCAGCTCCACAACCAGTCCTCCCAGCTCTATAACGCGTCCATGTTCTCCCCCTCCTCCCTGCCGCCTGCGCCCCCCCCCCAGCCCCCACCTCCTCCAGAGAGGGCGGTGTCCCGGCAGGACAGTGTGATCAAGCATTACCAACGTTCGTCCCCAGCCCAGTCGACAACACTCCCCCTGCAACAGTATGTCAGCTGTGGTGGGTCATCGGGCTACCAGCAGATAGCCAGCCACCACCGGCATGCTGGGATGTCCTGTAGTCCCCTGGGGGAGCAGAGTCCGTCCTCTGACCCCAAGCCCTCACCACGGATGGAGTCCCAGACATATCGACCTATCATCCAGACTCCTTACACACCCTCATCCTCCAGCTCCTCAGCCTCCTCCTCATCTGGCACTAAAGGAGCCAAGAGTTCTAGCTCCAGTAGTGGCTACTCCTCTTCAGGTTCAGCCTCCTCCTCCTCCCGTGCCCCACACACTCCACCATCAGCCTCCTCCACTTCCTCTTCATCCTCTTCTAGCTCCAAGACAAGCACTGGCCCCTTGTCTGCTCCCTCTCGTCAGCAGCCCCCACCTCAGTCGGTGCCAGCACCACCCCCTCTACCAGTGGTGTCATCCACCCTCGTTCAGCAGCCAGCCCCCAAACAATGCCTCTCCACGTATGGCTCTCCGTCTGTGGCCAACTCAAGCACAGGCCTACCGGACCAGACCCCTCCCCATCCACATGCCCAGTCCTACTCTCCCAACCAGCCTCCCTCTGCACACATGGCCCAGTCTTATGGAGGCTTCAGCTCACCTCACGCCCAGGACCTGAGCTCTGGAGCGGGGGGACCTGGAGCGAAGGCCTTCACTGGCATAGGTACAGGAGGACGCTCGTTCTCTGCGGAGATAGTCTTTGGGGACTCGAGCTTTGGCTCAGCTTCTCTCAGAGGAGCAGGCAGTCCGTCCTTAGGGTATGGGAATGCTGGGGGATCATCAGGAAGTGGACCTGTATCAGGAGCGGCTGGACTTGGTAGCGGAGTTGGATCTGCAGGATCGGGGAGCGGGGCTGCTAGTGTTGGTAACGGAGGCAGCAGCTCGTACCACCTGCCCGAGTCCAGTCCCTCGCCCTCCATCAGTTCTACTATCAGTCGCCCCGGGTTACACTCTCCTGCTGCTGCTCGCCCTGCGCAGTCCCCTGGAGGCTCCGGGGCCACCAAATACTTGTCCTCCATCCTCTCTCCTGCTTTTATGTCCTCACCACAAGGTTTCCCTGATACACGGCAAGCGCAGAGCCAGTCCTACAACTCTTCACCACCCAAACCAAAAACGGAGACCAACATGCTGGGAGTGGAGCGATCCCAAGATGAGGAAGAGGATGATGATGATTTCCTCATCCATCACTTACTTCATGCCCAGAGCTCGACTCCCCATCCTTCCCAGCATCACTCACCGACTCAGCAGCTCCCCCAGCCACTCCCACAGGCGCAGGATGGAGAACGCAAGGAGGTCGCCTATGACCTGAACAAGATCTCAGAAGAGCGCTACCACGTTCAGAGCGTCATTCGTACCAACAACACCTCCAGCACTTCAGGTCTTGTTGACGCAGCAAGTCGCTTAAACAGTCAGCTGGAAATATCACAGAAGAAACAGCAGCAGACCAAGTCAGAGCTGAACCTCCCCAAGTCCACCGCTGGGGGGGTCTCTGACTCTCTGTCCCACTCCCATCAGCAACAGCACGACTCCATGGGCTCCGTGGTCCACTATGGAAGAGGGGACCCCTACGCCCAGCACCCACACCCCCAGCATTCCCATCACACCTCACATGTGTCCTCACACCCTCAGCACTCTCAAATCCCCCAGCACACTCAACACACACAGCACTCTCAACACTCTCAGCATGGTCATCCTCATTCCCACCCTCACACTCATCCTCACATGGAGCTGAAGAAGACTTCAGATGCAAATGACAATGCGTACCTGTGTAACACACCAGATGTGCAGCAGACCCGACAAAGCCAGGTCCCCCTCTCTCTGATGGATTCACCACCGGACCCTCCCCATCAAGCTCACATGCTGCAGTCTGTCCTTTCCCATACAACCCGCACCAAGATGGAGCAAGCCCCTCAGCAACAGCAACAGCAACAGCAACAGCAGCATCCTCTGAGCCAGCAGGCCATGATGGGGTCAGCCGGAGGACCGGGGCCTACTGGGGTAGAGGCCCACGCACAGAACCACTCGTCACAGTTGCAACTCCAGCTCCAGACCCAGACCCACTACAGCATCGGAGCCCAGCCAAGAGATCAAAGCCGAGCCAGTCAGAACTCGGTGTCCTCACTAGACATGCTAGACCAGTCTCTGTCCCGGACCAACAGCAGAGACAGTGGAGGAGCTCTGGAGAGAACTGGGGTTGGGGTGACTGTTCCAGGGGGGGAGGGAGGTGGTGGGGACAGACAAAGACAGCAGCACAGACTTACGCCCCACCACCTCCCCCAACAAACAGATCTCCATGACTTCCTCTCGGAACCAGACTTGGGCTTGTCCACCCCCTCGCACCTGCATCACATCAACCAACCTCAGGCCCATCCCCACCCTCACGGCCACCACCAACAGCAAGCACACGCACACCATCAGCTGTCACACTCTCAGTTAGCTCACCCGCACTCCCACCGGATGGCGGCAAATATGGGGACCCCGCAACAACAGCAACATCCCCAACCCAGAGAGCCTGAGAGCCAGCTGTCCCACTCCCAGTTAGACCAGCTCAAACAGCACCAGTTTGACACAGTGAGCCCAGTGGGTAAAGTGGGACAGACTCAAGCTCAGCAGCAGCGGTTTGCGCCCCTGACATCCATCTGCTTTCCAGACTCTCTCTTGCACGATGAAGACCGCTCCTTCTTCCCTGAGATGGAGGACATGTTTTGTCCAGCTGACTACAAGTCCAGCTGTGCTGCGGATTCTGGAGCAGGACCGGCTGCTCAGGAAAGCCTGAACCAGGGTCACGTGCAGGGCCAAGAGGGGATGGAGGCCTTAAAAACAGGAGGTGCTGGAGAGGGCTATGATATGGTTGGTCACCATAGTGACCAAGGCTACGGACAGTACTGCCACAACCTTCCAGGAACAGGAAATGGCAATCTGCACCTAGACCTGGACTCTATGAAGACCCACGAGCTTCCCTCCACGGTGAATACTGACCAGCTCGGCCTCATCCATTCCCAGACTCCCACTATGGGATTGAGTTCAGCAGTTCAAGGGGATGGCACAGTCAACAAGATGATGGGAGCTGTGGGAGTGGGTGGTGGTTCAGGCGCTCCTGGTCTGACCTCACCTATCTTCTGTTCGTCTCGACCCAAGAAGCTGCTGAAGACCAGCTCCTTTCACCTGCTCAAACAGCGGCGTGAGCCACAGCCTCAGACAAAGAAGATCTATGCGCAGGAGTACGAGTTTGAGGATGATGAGGATAAAGCTGATGTTCCAGCTGATATTCGCCTCAACAGTCGACGCCTTCCTGACCTGCTTCCTGACTTGGTGTCCAGTTGTAGGAAGGCTGGTGGGGCATCAGGAGTAAGTGGGCTCAGTCCACTTATGGGTGACATGGAGTTCTGCCACCCCACCAGCTACTCTGCCCTTGGACACCCTCCACAGCTCCTTCCCCATGATGGCCCCAAGAAAAGGGGCAGGAAACCAACCAAACCAAAACGTGAGGGCCCTCCTCGCCCGCGAGGTCGACCACGCATACGTCCTCTTCCAGAGCCTCCGTACTGCAGGGGGCTGATGGGATCAGTGGCTGGAGAAAGTAGGAGGGGTCGTGGTCGCGGTCGAGGGCGAGGCAGGAAGGAGGAAGGGCTTGTGGAAATGCATCGAGATATGAACAAAGCACAAAGCCTCCCATATCAGCAGCAGCAGCAGCAGCAGCAGCAGCAACAGTTCAGCCAACAGCAGCATCTCCAACAGCATCCACACCAACATCACCGACAGCAGGCGGACCTCCAACAAGCACCACAACAACAGCAGCAACAGCAGCATCACCTGCATCATCATCATCAGCAGCAGCAGCAGCAGCAGCAGCATGTTTCCTGTACTCTTCACCAACCGCATCATCAACAGCATCATCACCAACAGCAACAGCAACCATCCCAGCAGCCGCAGCAAGATCCCATCAGACCTATCACGGTAATACATTTTATTAATCCTAGTCTCTCCACATGTTCCCCGCTTAGAGAAGGGCCGGAGTAAAACCTCCCACCTGAACTGTGTGCGAAGAGTCGAGGTTATGTGATGAGGAATTAACTCTCTGCTTGTCACACTTGTGTTTTGGTAAAGACTTTTATTTCTTTGAAGGTTATTGTTTAGATATAAAGTTATAAAAACATTTTGTTACTTAAACAGTCATAGTTAAAAGCTAATGAATTAGTGTTAAGAAATAGTCAGACTGCAGCTCTCTGCTTCATGATTATCTAAAGTGAGACTAATGTGGTATCAGTTTCAGGCAAATGGGTTTCTGTGATGGAAAATAAGTGGAGGATGCTGATATACAACCAGGGAGTTGCAAAAATCTAAAAAAAAAATGAGGGTGGAGAATGTTACATGTTCATCAAAACAGATGTGCAGCAAATACTCACAACACAACCAAACTTGTATTATCTCTGCGAACAGGTCCCTGAGGAGTTTTACTGCGGTCACCATCAGGGACTTGTGTTCTAGATCAGTCGAGCCACAGTGTCTCACGCAACACAAATGTTTCATGCTTCGTGCTGAGAGTCTGCTCGTCTGTCCCTCAGATCAAACTGCCTGTTCCCACCATGCCTCCATCTGAATCCTTGCTGAGGACGGACTCTCTGTCCAGCACCGACCCAGTTCTGTCTGACGGATCTGTGGGGTCGGCGCCATCCCTGGGCCTGAGTCCTGGACCCAGCACCACCATGGATATCAGCAGAACTGAGCTGAACCAGACGCAGAACAAGATGATGAGGCATCAGCAGAAAGATGGAGAGGTAAAAGAGCACACGACAAGTATTTAATCAGAGATGATTCAACACTGTGTCAGACCGGTGCTGTTTGAACTGGTCTAACTGGGAGTGTTCACTGAATCATATTAGGATGGTGAGTGAAGGGACTGGCACTGAGCGATGTGTGACCAAAGCTGAGAGCTCTCTCATCTCATGCAACAGCTTGAGGGGGCGTGGCTTTTTCACAGGGGGAGGGAAGAATGACAAATATCTCTCTAAAATTAAGTATTGTTTGAGCAGGAATCTAATTATCTAAACAGTGGGTTTAGAGTTTTGAAACCTGATATCAACCTAAAGAAGTAAAGTAATCCTCAGTATCAACAAGGAATAGGCCAGTTATTGATTTATTTCATGTTCTCCAGCACATACGTGTGAGAGACAGGACCATGGACCGTGAGGTCGCTTGTTGAGCTGCGTCTCTGTGTGTTGGAGGAGCTGTAGATGAAGGGCTGACAGACTCAACTTTGTGTTTCATGTTGGAGTAAAAAAGAGCTGGTTGCCTCAGCAACAGCGAGACACACTGTGTCTGCAGTCAATATTGTGACTGTAAGACATGCTACGTTTCCACATCCAGTCAGACTGACACAGTTCAGTGGCTGAGCGTTTGAGCAGATATCCTCTCATTGTCCAGGCTCAGGATCCCAGCTCATTAACAAGGGGCTGAGGTTAAAGTGCTGACACAGCTTTAACGATGTTGGATGGTGTTCTCATCTGGAGGACCCAGCCCTTCAACAAAGCCCAGTCCTGCAGTGTGGAACAATGCAACAGGGAGACCAGCCTCGACATGGTGCCGCCAAAGCAAACAAGGAGCTTTTAAGGTGCAGACACTGAAACGGTCTTTACTGGACAAGTCAGTCACAAGACCTCATTCTAACTGAAGCTGTGTTCAGACCCAGGCTGAAGGCAGAATGCATCAGGGTCTCATCAGTGTCTGCTGATGTCTGTGGAATGGGTTTATGTTAACATGTGGGAGGCGATGTAGAGACTACAGTCTGTACTCTGCTCTGTCTGATACATCCAGGAACACACAAGTATCAGGGTCAAACTCAGAGACAGTATTTTCTGCTTCTTCCTCTTTAATATAACCTTGAATGATAAATGTGTTTATTAGTGTGTGCAGCCTTCACCATGAAACCATCTTTAAAAGAGTCACACAGCGTTACTGTTCATGTACAGCAGAGTTTTTGAGCTGACCTGTCTCGTGTGAACAGATGACGTGGAAGAAAGACGTGGACGATCCTCTGAACTCTGAGGCCTGGGCTGCTCTTCACAAACTCTCCAGCTCAGTAAGTTTCTCACAGCCCTGCAAAACACAGGCTTCATATATAATTCATACCATCACACCTACACAGCACCATGCCTCTTCCACACCTCAGGTGCCTGTTGGAGCTGAGGCCAGTAACCTGTGTGGACAGTTAGTCCAGGTCCTGGTCTGTGTTCAGACCTGGTCTGATCTGCTGGTTCAGTCTCTGTGTTTTAATGCTCATTCCTGTTTCTGTGGAGAGAAGGAGGTTATAGTTGACTGACAGCCAGCTCTTTCTGACTGACAAAAGAGAGAGGAGAGCGATGGCTGTTACCAGGGCAGCTGTTGCCACGGTTACTACATTTTTCAAGTGCAGGAGCCTTGCTGCCACCTGGTGTCTGTTCAGTTGTATTACCTGCAGCAGCCTGGATTTATTATTTCAGAGCAGAGACACGTAAAAATCATTTGCCCCTTTGTTCAAACTCCAGATAAAAATGTTGCGAACATTCCACAATAAATTGAATTTGCCTTCAGTCACTTTGCATGTACCTTCTTTCTCTGATGCACCAACAACAGAGTTTCTTTCTTCTGTTGCCATTATCTGTTTGTTTCCATTCATTCTGATTATTTACATATAGTTTCACATCGACATGTATCAGATTGTAGATTTTCAACATTTCTAAATCCCAGCTTCTACACTGAAAGGACGTGCTTCTTTATTTCACTATGTGACAGTGAACTGGAGATCTTGAGGTGTAGAACAGCTGGTTTGATTTTCTGATTTTTATAAACTAAATAATTAGTCAGTTAATTGAGAAATTAATCAAGCAATTAATTGCTGATGTGAATAATTGTTAGCTGCACCCTGTCATATCTGAGTCATTGTTTTATTCAAGTGTAGTAATATATGATTCTCATTCTGTCTGTCAGGATTCAGGAACCATATTGTATATGAACCTGAAACCGTAGTCACTGTCCCGATTGAACTGTTTCCACAAATCAGTATTTCATATGAACAATGTGAGACATGAAATTGGTAAATGAGTCAGTCATAGAAGACCCTCAGGTCTCTCAGCTCATTGTGGTGGGTCTGCCGTCTAACACTCACCCCCTGGTTCAGCCTAACTGATCTAAGACCATTCATCCGTTCATTGGCTGTGTCTGAAATAACTCACTACTTTATGTTTATCTTTCCATTATGTTGTTTACCTGGATGTGTAAATGTTTGCTAACATGGTGAGCTATGCTAACAGCTTCAGGTAAAGGACAGATGAGTCTTGTAGAGTGAACAGTTGACAAAGTACAGTGGACAGGAAGTGACATCATCAGTGATGAGATTCTTTTCTCTTGCAGGCTGATGAGAAGGCGTTCGACTTCAAACCTGGCTTCATGGCCTCTTTCCTGGACTTCCTGAAGACAGGTAAAAAACAGTCGGGCCTGGACCAGGGACCTGACGGAGATGAGCAGGAACCCCTGAACCCCTGCTCGTCTCTGAAGGGAGGGATCACGCCCTTATCCCCGCCTCCTCCTCCCCTACCACAAACTCCTCCTCTGCAGGCTCCCGGATCCTTCAGTGAGGGAGGGCAGGGTGAGGGGGAGGACCTGGCTCTCAGCAGCTGCCCCAGTCCCTGCAAGCCTCTGGATGATGAGCTGAAAAGGAACCTGGAGACGCTGCCCTCCTTCTCCTCTGATGAGGAGGACTCGGTGAGTAAGAACCAGGATCTGCAGAAGAGCATCTCATCTGCCATCTCTGCCCTCTATGACACCCCTCACTCTCTGGCTGCTGCAATGGCTTCTGCTATGGTCAAAGCCCCGCCCACTCTGTCCCCACCTACCCCACAGGAGCCGCCGCTCAGCCCCCCTCTCCCCGCCATGCCTCCACTCATCCCCAGCATGGAGAACGGAAAAGAGGAGGCGCTCACGTACACTCAGCATCGCACACAGGATGAGGAGCAAAACCTGGTCTCCCCAGAGTCCAACAGAGAGAAAGCAGAGGAGAGGGAGCCTGAACGAGGAGCAGAGGAGGAAGAGGAGGAAGAGGAGGAGGAAGAGGGGGAGGAGGTAGGAGGAGAGGAGGCTGCAGACAATAAAGAAATGATGAGAGATCCAGAGAATCTGCAGCCGGGGGCCCTGGAGGAGCAGGAGGAGGAGGAAGATGAAAGGATGTCTGACATGCAGATTTTGGAGGTTCCTAAGGTTGAAGGTAATTTGTCTGTTTTCTTCTCTATCTTTAAATGTTCTGTAAACGATCATCACAGCCATTAAATGTCAGACCAAAACAAACGCTTTGTGAGCCACAACCTCTGGCCCCTGTTTGGCCACAACCCCCCCGACCTCCCCTCATGTTCTCCGTCAACAGGGTGTTGCGGAGAAGAGTGAAATCAGACACTAAACACACAACAAGAAGCTCAACTGAATTAATTTCCCTGTGAACATGAGAGCCAACAGGAAACAATCTAACCACAACCATTAGCCATATTGCTGTGATATGCTCCACAGCAATGCTGACAGTTAGCCAGCTTCATGCAGAGACACCAGACCAGGAAATGAAATGAGATCTGAGAGTCATGTGACCTTAAACACCTGCAGCAGTTAGAAGGTAACCCCCCGCACCCACCCCCCTTTGTGTTTCAGATTCTCCGTCAGGACCTGTGCTCGCTCCTGCACTTCCATCTCCATCACCATCCATCTCCCCCTCACCGCCCACCTACTCATCACCATCACCCCTCCCTCCCCTGTGCCTCTCTGTACCCTCCCCTCTGCCAGTCCAGCAGGGTGAGGAGGGGGTGAGTCCAGCCTACCCTCCCTCTGAGCAGCAGCAGCAACAGCCCTCCTACCAACCACCTCCAGCGGCAGGCACCTCCCCTCCCCCCTCCACCTCCCCCCCGGCCATCCCATCCTCACCACTCTCCAACCTTCCCCTGGCCCAGTCCATCCCCCCTCCATCCACCACTCCTCCCCCATCATCATCTGATCAGGACCAGGAACCTGAAGCTGGGCAGCCTTCCCCCTCTTCACCCTCCTCTTCCTCGCCCTCTTCATCATCCTCTCCGCCACCATCACCTCCAACCCCGGAGGAGGCCCCAGCATCGCAGCGCCTCACCTCCCTCCACCTGGCGAAGAAGCAGGCTGACGCCGCCATCGCTGGGGAGAGTGAGGAGGAGGACAGCGAGAGCGGGGGCGAGGGGATCTTCCGCGAACGAGATGAGTTTGTGGTTCGAACCGAGGACATCGGGACCCTCAAGGTGAGACTACGGCTCCCAGGAAGTGTGTGTGGTGAATGACTTGGCATTAATGATATAAACTGTGTTTGTGTCACCAGATGGCCTTGCAGACAGGCCGGGAGCCCCCGCCCATCTGGAGGGTGCAGAAAGCCTTGCTCCAGAAATTCAGCCCAGAGATCAAAGATGGCCAAAGGCAGTTCTGTGCAACCAGTAATGTGAGTTTTCCAGAAGACATGGGTTTAACTCAGGGCTGTCTGTGTGTCCAAAGCAAATCAGTGATGTCACATCTTTACCTTTCTCCTTCCTGTCTGTTTTAGGATTCTTCTTCTGAACTGACAGTAAACATATCAAATGTGCAGTACAGAGGAAAAATATCTAAAAAATCACTGCTACCAAAAATATTTACAATTAACTGACAATGACACGGTCCAGTGACAATATAGAATCCTGTATTTACCAGCCTCTACTCTCTGCTCCAGTCGCTAACATCCCCGTCTCTCTCTCTCTCTCTCTCTCTCTCTCTCTAAACGTAAAACCTACATACTGATCTATTCCTACTCCTGTAACAATATTCTGGATCAAACTTCTCAAACTTACTGCAGATCTTGCACAGGGATGATAAATCAGAGTAATTTGCTTGTTTACTTGCTCCTGCTGCCTTGTAACACTCAGGAAGAAAAGACTGTTGAAGTAATTTTTCTAATGTGCAAGTTTAGTTTTCACACACGTCTGCATATGCATATAATGCTGCAATATCATAACTGATATCAGAACAGTGGAAGCTTGACAAGCACACTTTGACTACAGATAATCACCAGTCAAAGATCCAGGATTATCCTCAATCTCCAAAAAATGCTAGTGTTCGCTTTACATGCTCCAGCCTTTGTCAATGGGACACCATCACACCCACGAAAATCACAGAAACTATAGATACAACAGTTGGAAGTGAAGCATGCTTCAGAGACAATACCCTGCTGCCACCACAGAGGGCAGTAAATTACATGATGAATACAAACAGGCATCAGATCACCTATTGGATAGAACCAAAGACTGTAAATAAAGATGGACGTAGCCTCAGTGACGTCACCCACAGATTACTGCCATCCTGGCAGTGTCTCACTCCGCCCCTAACTCCCAGCTAACCCAAAAATGGACAAAGAGGTGGGGCATGAGACTGGCAAGCACACACTCACCCACCTCTCACTCAAGGAGGCCACACCCACAATTCAGAAGAACTTTAAGCCTTAATAAAATGTAAACAGGTGAGTTATAAAAAGAGTTGTCATGAAGGAGGAAATGGGGGATTGACTCACTGTTGGAGCCAGACTCTAGTGGTCATTGGACGAACTACAGTTTTTGGTACTTCAATGCTGGCTCGTTTTTCAGCCTTGGAGGTTACTACTTGGACAAAAAGCTGTTCTGAGATCAGATGTAATAATACTTTAGTATTGCTGATGTTTATTTGTAACTTTAAGTAACTTATGAAGATGAGGAGGTATCCCTGACTTAATGAAGATGTAGATTAAGGAGTCCAATGGCCTAATGGTTGAGGTGCACAGTATACACACAACCATGTGTCCCTGGTTTCCTATAGAACATCATTGTAATTCTTATTCTTCATGTCTCCTTCCCCAGTATCTGGGTTACTTCGGTGATGCCAAAATGCGCTACCAGCGTCTGTACGTGAAGTTCCTGGAGAACGTCAACAAGAAAGATTATGTCAGAGTGTGTTCTCGAAAGCCGTGGCACAGAGCCGGACTGACTCTGAGGTAAGGCCAAGGTCAAGTTCTCTAGCCGTCACTCACAGGAGGATTGATTTCAGATAACTAACCAGCTTCACTGTGTGTCTGACAGGAGGCAGTCACTGCCCAAACAGCTGCCCACCATTCACAGTCAAACCCCCCCTCGAGTGGACAGAGACGACAAGGAGAGACAGAGAGAAAGAGAGCTGAAGGAGCAGAGAGAAAGGGAGCACAGGGAGAAGGAGGAGAGAGAGCAGAAAGAGAAGGAGAGACTGGAGAGGGAGCAGAGAGAGAGGGACCGCAAAGAAAGAGAGAAGGTGGAGAGGGAAAAGGAGGACAGAGAGCGAAAGGAGAATGAGCGAAGAGAAAAGGAGAAAGAAATGGAATGGGAAAAGGAGGAGAGTGAAAGGAGGGAGAAGGAGCTGAAAGAGAGGGAAAGGAGAGAGAGAGAGCAGAAAGAGAGGGAGCTAAAAGAGAGGGAAAAGAGGGAGAGAGAGCAAAAAGAGAGGGAGAAGAAAGAGAGAGAGCAAAAAGAGAGGGAGTTGAAAGAAAGGGAGAGAAAGAACAGGGAGCAGAGAGAGAAGGAGAAACAGGAGAGGGAGCGAAAAGAAAGAGAGAAACAGGAAATAGAAAGGAAAGAAAAAGAGAGACAAGAAAGCGAGAGACAAGAAAGAGAAAGGAAAGAGAGGGAGAAACAGGAGAGGGAGCGAAAAGAAAGGGAGAGACAGGAGATAGAAAGAAAAGAAAAGGAGAAACAGGAAAGAGAAAGGAAAGAAAGGGAGAGACAGGAGAGAGAATGGAAAGAAAGAGAGAAACAGGAGAGGGAGCGGAAAGAGAGGGAACAAAAACAAAGGGAGAAACAGGAGAGAGAGCAAAGAGAAAAAGAGAAAAAGGAGAGGGAGCAAAGTGAGAGGGAGAAACAAGAGAGGGAAAGAAGAGATAAAGAGAGAGAAAAGAGAGAGAGGGAGCGGAGAGAGAAGCAGAGAGAAAGAGAGCAGAAGGAGAGTGAAAAAGAGAGGGAGCAGAAAGAAAACGAGGGAAGAGAGAGGGAGAAAGAGAAAAGAGAGAGAGAAGAGCGAGAGAGGAGAGGTGACACAGTGGAGTTTGCAAGGTTGAAGGAGGAGAAGAGGATGGAGCATCAGTCCAGAGCCAAGACGTCAAAGGACAAGGCAGAGCCTCCTCCCAAGAAGAGGAAGAAGTGGCTAAAGGAGGTGCCGTCCTCCTCCTCTGAGTCTGACTCCTCTCCACCCAGTGATGAAGAAGGTCAGTGGCTGTGTGTGTGTGTGTGTGTGTGTGTGTGTGTGTGTGTGTGTGTCTGGTACACATGTATTTATAAACCATCAGCGAGTGTCTGCAGCCCCTCAGTGCAGCCTCTCTGTGTTTCAGGGCCTGTTCGAGGTGGAGTCAACAGCCGAGCCATGAGGGAGATGTTCAGGAGCTATGTGGAGATGCTGGTCAGCACAGCACTCGACCCTGATATGATCCAGGCCCTGGAGGACACTGATGGTGAGCACTCGGCTGGAGGAACACAGTGGGAGCGTAGACATGTTGAGAGTAGATTGAACGGCCTTTTCTTTCATGTACCAGTACTAAACCAAAACTTTTCAAAGGTGTGCTGCAGAGTTTCAGAGGGTTGGATGTATTCTTATTATCTTACAGCCACCCTGGTTTTTTCCATCAGTTGTCATAGACTCTTAAATTTGCTACAGTTAATGAGTCACAGTGAAGATAATGTCTGGAGATTGACTGATTTGAAAAACTGAGGTCATGATAAAGTAACCCTGTTCAGTGTGATGGTTGCTGTGAGGAACTGAAGCTTAAGCTACTTTACTATAGTCTCAGTTTGGCGCACGATAATCGTCCTATTATATGGTCACCACCTCCTTTGGTCCAATTATCTGCTGGCATGGCTTCTCATATCACTGCTATGTAGACGACACCCAACTATACCTGTCTTTCCCACCAGACGGCCCCACGGATCTCAGACTGTCTCTTTGACATTTCCAAACGGATGAAGGAACACCACCTTCAACTAAACCTCTCTAAGACTGAACTACTGCTCATCCCGGCCAATCAGTCTCTTCATCAAGATGTCAATATCAAAATCTTTTCATCCCTTACAGGAACCAGGGTTGCAAGAAACCTGGGTGCCATGTTTGATCACCAGCTCTCCCTCTCTCACCATGTTGCATCTGTCCCCTGCCTGTGCCACTTTGCTCTATACCACATCAGAAACATGTGTTGGTCGCCGTAATATTCATATTTTCACTATCATCATCTCTCCGGCCACTGCGGGACACTCACTCTATGCTTTTGAGACCATCTGTTGAGAACATCTGGGAAGATGAATAAAAAGTGATGTTAAAATCATGTAAACGTCGGCTTTAATACACTCGTTAATACACTCCTAAAGACTTGGTACTCTCCTTTGAATCCTCTCTCCCGCTCTGATCCTCTCCTCCACCGGCATCTTCCACTTGTGGCTGAGAACCAGGCCTACTGTCAGTCCTGACACATTAACCCTATCTCGTCAGTAACATTAATTCATTTTTTTTCCCATATTAGAAGAACTGATGATGTCTGTACTCTGCACTGTTTCACCTGTCCTCGCCATTCTCCTCCTCGCGAACTCTGTTTTTAAAATAATCTGTGATTTGAGACATTTCTGCAAAAAAAACCCATACACGTTGGGATGTAACGTTAATTTAGGGAAACTTTTCAAGAAGCTGGGTGTGCTTGGGTGTAAAAGAGATAATATTCACTTGTTTGAAGAGCCGCAAAATCAGGTTGCCGTCTCCTTCAGCAGGCAGAAAATCCATTGTGTTCATATTCTTCTTCTTTGGCAATTTCGGATGGCTCTGCCTGATGCACGGGTTGCTATACAGCGCCAATACATTGCTGTAGTGGAGTACAGCCACAACTGCAGTTACAAACGTCAAATCCACCGAGTACCAAGAAAACAAGTTCTAGAATTTTGTCGGGAGGCGGAGGTGGCACAAAATGTGACGGAGGCAGCCGCCTCGCAATTATCTATGCAGGAAAAACCCTGTATGCTACTTCTCAGCCTCTGTGTTCCTCTAATGAATGACGTCTAGCATCACCATCCCTGACAGTCTCAGTCCAGACTCTTCTGGTCTGTGGTTCCCTGATGGTGGAACAAGCTACCAGAGTCTATCAGAGCAGAGTATCCCTCTCTATCTTCAACAATCTGTTGAAGACTCCTCTCTTCAGAGAGCACCTTCTCTCCTAACACCTCTAACACCCTGACATGTCTAACTAGCTCTTACTGTGAACTTTACCTGATCTCCTTCTTTTATTAAATAGATGTAGTACTTAGTGCTTACACCAAGGTCTCCTACTGCACTGAAGCTTTACTGGAGAACCAGTGACTACTGGGAAAGGGCAGTTGCCATCCAGGGAAGACTGTAGGACATCTGGGAAAGACCAGAGGACAGCAGGAGAGACTGCACTAGGAGTGGGTGGTTAGTCACACTACCCCAGGGTTCTCCAACCCTTTTTACTCTGATGAGCTACTTTGACAAAATTAAAGGATCTGAAAGCTCCTCAAGTCTTATATTACTGGCAGAGCAGGAGCACTACTTCATCAACACAGTGTCCCAGGGCCAGCACGGTGCATGGACACGTCGGGAGGCCACCACAAACAGAAGCATCAGCTGGGCAGACATCTAGCAAGCTCCGTAAGCACAGCTAAGCTTCCTAATAAGGACAACATATGATACCGTTCCATGTCCCTGAAACCTCTCCCAGTGGTTCAGGATTGATGACAAGTGCCTGCTGCGCAGCAACAGCAACAGCAACAGCAACAGCAACAGCAACAGCAACAGCAACAGCAACAGCAACACAGGCCTCCAACACATCCTGTCATCCTCTCAAGTGCTCATTGCCTCATTGCAAGTAGCTAGTCTTCTGTTTTAAGATAATGCAAACAACTCTCAGGCCAGATGTTGTGATGTGGTCCACAGCTGCCAGGTTAGTCCTTAATTATTGAGCTTAGAATTCCTTGGGAAGAGGGGATACAAGCAGCACATGAGTTCAGGTGGCTCAAGTAATAGGAAATGGCAGTGTGAGTGCAAAGAGGCGAGCTGAACAGCATCGATTCACTCAGTAGAAGTTGGATGTAGAGGCTTTGTGGGCAAATCCGAGATCCACTGTGGGGGAAGGGCGGTTGAATGTTGTAGAAAGGAGGGCAAACAATCAAGATACAGGCTGTCAGGATAAAGACAAAGAGCTGATACAGATCATAATGAGAATAGAGTTCTGTTGAAACAGAATGATTGGACAGCAGAGGGGTTTAAATCCTCTGAGAGGGGCCAATTCTTCAAAGTGTGTAGGTGATGGACCTTCTTCTTGTGATTTGTGACATTGCTGAGCAACTAGGAAAGGTGAGGAAAGGAGGAGAAATGGTGGAAAAGTGGAAGTGACGAACTCAGAGAAGAGAAATGTGGTTAGAGGTGTAATTTATGTTGTTTGTGCCAACATGTCAGAGAAGGACATAAAAAGAATAGATAAAAAGAGGGGTGAGGGTGGAGAAGTTACTGATGCCAAGCAATAGCTTGTAGTGGGGGAAATCCAGAGGCCCCATTTTGATAACTTCTGGTGACAATGTTTGTCTTTCCAAAGGAAGAAATATCAGAGACCACCCTGCACTGCTTTAAAGGCCAGGGATATGGACATAGGGCCATGTCCTGCAGGGAGAGTCAAAGATGTGCAAAGTGTGAGGAAGACCATGATATCCTGGAACCAGGAAGTGTCTGTGAAACTGTGGGAAACCATAGGGCATCTTTTCAACAGCGTTGTCCCAAGCAAAACAAGTTCATGAGGTCAGAGATGAGGATAAAACCTCTTCTCTGCAGAAGCCTCAAAAAAGTGGTCAGGGTGGATCAAAACAGTTCAAGATCAAGAACACCTATGGACGGGTCCTTGGCGTCTCATTTCCCCTCTTCTTCCCTGGTTGATCAGGAGGCGGTCGTGATTGACATGAAAATTTATGAGTGATTCTCTGAATAAAGCTCGTTCAGGACGCCTGGTTAAAGTTAGTTAAAGCTAGTGTTGTTTTTGTCATCACAGGTGTGTCTGCAAAGAGACACACATACAAACATCAAACAGATCAGACAGGCCTGTGATGGGAGTGTTACATTCATCAAAACAGGAATAGCTTTGAAACCATGATAACTGAAGTGTGGAGTTCTCTGGGGAGAATTAATTTCCACAAAATCCACACAAGCTTTTAATACTGTCTGAGCTCGAGGAAATAATGAGTAAGATAAGACCTCCTGTTGTTATTTGGGGAGGTGCTTTGAAGGCTCGTAACCCGTCAGGGAGTAATCAGGTAACAGATACTGATCATGATGTAAGCGTGGAAATTCTATAGATAGATACTCACAGCGGTTGGTTGGATAAATGAGTGAAAATGTCCAGCACAGATATAACACTTGGCTCTGCTGTCTTGGTAAGAGTTGGTGGTAGTGATCACTTCACTGCTGTCAGTCATTTTAGAGGGTCCCTGCTCAGAGAATCTGATGATAGAGATACAAGGTTTGACAGAGGGACAAATTTGAGGAAGACATAGCAGCTCAAGAGGAAGTCAACAGTGCAGTGAAAGGATCTTTGGAGTAGCCTCAATGACAGTCCCTGTTGGGGTACGCTATCATGGCGGAACAAGGATTGTGATAAGGCAGCGAGACAAGTACCCTACTCGCATGAATGGAGTATGAGTGAGTGACCTGGTTAGATGAAGAGGTGCAGGTGACATTTATCACAGTTTAGGTGTTATTAATGTGAGGAACACCTTTCACCACTGTCAGGTTCTGCTTTAAGAATGTGTGCAGCTTCCCCACTTGAAAGAGTTTGATCCATCCACCGGCTTTTAACTGAGCTCCACTCAATGACCAGACAGGTTTCTTTTTTCTTCCTTTTACTTTGGAAGGTTCAGCAGTTTGAATTGATAGTTCACTTACATGGTTCCATTCCATCAGTCCATTGTCATTTATTGTTAGTCATTAGGGGAAAAACCTTTGATTAGAAAAAAAAACAGAAGAGAGAAAAACATGTATATTAAGACTAAATGAATAAACAAGCACTCGTAGACATAAGACATACATCATGAGTGTCGCCTTTCTTCACATGATTTGCCTTCACATGGTTTCCTCCCATTAATTGTAAATAAACTAATACTTTTCATTACCCTCAGATTTTCAGCTCAATATCTACAACAGGCTTTTATTGCATTTGACCCCAAACATTTTAACATAAAGCATTTTAACATGCTGGAAGTTTTATTATTACTTTTTTCACCATGTTTTTGCCATGAGTGACTTCAAGTCATATCATCAGCATTTCTTGTGCCTCAAGCTGACAACGTCAAACATCATCAGACTTGTAACAGCTTATTATCAAAGAACAAAGAACTTGGACAGACACATGGACTAAAATGTTAATTTATCGAGCCGACCCTCGCGGCATGAAGCTAACACTACCCGGCGCAGCCAGTAGTGTTAGATCGTCACCAGATCAAACATACTGACAGTCTCTTACCGACTGCCTCTCCGTGGCTTTCATACGCCACTGTTGTGTGAAAGCCACCTCTGGCACCCTTCAGCCTGCTCGCACCGTTGATTTGTCTGTGGCTGTGACTGATATGAGAGTAAATGAGTTTTCTCCTGTACTTGACCTCCTCAGATGAGTTGTACCTCCCACCCATGAGGAAAATTGACAGCCTGCTGAGTGAGCAGAAGAAGAGGTTGTTGAGGAGAGTCAACATGAGCGCTCAGCACCAGGTAACCTGTTCTTCTTCTTCTCTGTCTGTTAGACCTGACTGCCTGTTGATGATTTACAAGAAATACACTGGTGTCACAGTTTAAAACAAATGCCCCATCTTTGAGTGTAAACTAAACTTGAGTAACCCGTGTCTCATGTTTCTGACTTGACTCTGCTTCCTCTCTCCAGGAGGCTTTACATATATTCCCCAAAATGACGGCCGACCCGCTGGACTCTGGAGCCGTCAAAGTTCATCTTGGTGGGGAGGGCTACAACCGCAAAACTCTCAGCCGGGTCAAGAGGAGTATTCCCAAGCAACAGGTCAGAAAGAACATGGATATAACATCACAGTCCCTGCATGACTTCACAAAATATGTCTTGGTGTGTACAGTTTCACACATGGATAAACAAGACATGCAAGACAAGAACAGAGTGTACCTGTCAGTCAAAGCGCAGGGTGCAGGAAATATAATGCACAAGTTTTTTTTTTTTTTTTTTACTCACTCAACATAAACTCCCGAAGTTAAGAGAAGACCTGGCAGAGGTCAATCCTCAGAGGTCAATCCTCAGAGGTCAGTCCTCAGAGGTCAGTCCTCAGAGGTCAGGTTAGTGTGATGAATGGATGGATTCAGGCTCCTTAATTAAACAAACTCTTGAAAACCTCTTTAACTGGTTGAAGAGCAGTAAAATGTATCTGACACCCTTTGATAATTCAGCTGATATCCATTATGGTTAAAGAACATCACAAAGCGTTTTAGTAGTTATTTATTATTCAAGCTACCCTCTATTATTATTTTATTATTTTGGAATTATTTATTATTCTAGTTTCCTTACAGCAGCTGTGATTGTCAGTGGGGTGGGGGGAACCTCCTGTGACAAAATGTTGTAATAAAGTTCATCAGTCCTTTTCTCTCTCTCTTCTCAGGATCTGAAGATTTCCATTGAGACATGTCGGATCTACAGTCTGTATCATTCCCTGCACCACTACAAGTATCACACCTTCCTGCACTGTAAGAAGGAGGTAAGGATGGCTTCACTAGGCCACCTGTATGTAAACCTGGTACATTCACCATGACTGAGCTGTCAGTGCTGCGCTCATGAGACGTGCTGATCAGGTTGTTTGGCTCACACCAAACCTGAGGCCAGAGTCCTGTACTACGAAGCAGGATCTGAGGATATCGAGGTCACTTCAGGTTAAACTCTGGGTTTTCAGTCCTATGACGGTGGTTCACTTGTTACCGAGGTAATTCACCATGGTGACTGATGCTGAACTCCTAACCTGCTCCGGCGCAGGTTAACTTCAGAGGATCAGATCAAAACCTGTCAACAGCCAAACTACTGACCAATCAGCTACCTGGACAAAATGAGTCATCATTCCAACAAGATCCTGACAGGGACAAAAGAGTTTACAATAAAGTGATCAATAATAAAGATCAGCAGATATTGATATAAATCAGTGGATGGTTTTGCTGTTTGAGTCTTTCCATGTGTTACTCTGGTTTTAAAAGAGAACATTTTTTTTTCTAGTGTTTCTCCTTTATTCTAGTCATGTGATCATGTTACATTTCACCTCGTTGAATTTCACTTCATGACATCACTATAACTGAATTCACCTGCAGGTATCAGTGTTTCTTCTCATATTAATACTTTATTCATGATTCTGACGATGTTACTTATGATTGAAAACTCTTCCTCTTTCACATGAATGCGCCCGACCTGGACAGGTAAACCCAGGCTTAACTGAGCCAGCTGATAACCTGCTTTGTAGTACAGGTTATCAGGACAGTCAATGTTAGGTTCAGTTAAGCCAGATAACTAAAAGTTATCCTGGGTTTGTTGAACATGCTTCGTAGTTCAGGCCTCTGGTGTTAATGTTGTCTAACTGTTTTTATTTTTTAAGTCAGTTTTTTAAAGAGCCCCAAGAAATCCCCTGCTGACCCCAAACACTCTGCTGTCATGAAAGTCCCTCGTTCTGATTGGCTGCTGTATTGCCCCTCCCCCCTGACTCAAAGTTAGTGATGTGACAGGTGAAAACACTGGTCTGTCCAACAAAGGAGATGGTTACTGAACTAGTCTTGACCATTAAACAACCCTAATGTTCTTTGACTGTGCTCAGGAATGTGATGTAATCATTTTGGGGGAGGGGGATGTCTTTGCCCCTCACCCACTGACACAGAGAGACCTTGCATGGTTGCTCTCCTTGTTGGGTGCAGGGTTGTGTTGTTGTTCTGTTGAATTATGCGGTTCGGTTGGAAGGGGACACAGGTCCCTTGAACATTACCAATAAAGATGGAACCATCTTAGAGCAGGTTATGGTCTATAAATACTGAGGAATCTTTGCTGGATAGTGCATGGTCCTTCTCCCACCATGTCACTGTGCTGCAATTGAAGGTCAAGGCAGAACTTAGTTTTCTATATAGAAATCTTTCTTCTTTACATCGGCTGCCAAACACTTGCTTGTTCAAATGACCATACTGCCTCCTGTATTCTCTGGTCAAATGGCCCTCTCTGTAGATTTGTCGTAATATACAGTGGTTTACACTCATCTATAAAACTCCTCTTGGATACTCACCCCCCTATTATTATTATTGCAGCCAACCTTGGTGGCCAAGCACAATACATGGTCTTCTTCATAGATCAGAGTAAAGGCTCCTATATCCAACACATCCCTCAGCCTGTTGTCAGTCCAGTCTGCTGCTGCTGCTGATTGGATAAATCTATCTCTCTCACTGGCTTTAAAAGGCTTTCTTTTCTTTTACTGATACTTTTAAATGTTTTACTTCTGTTTGATTTGATTAATTATTCAATCTTCTTCGTTTCTTTGTCTTCATGTTTTGTGTTTTTCTTTGCCCACCCACCTCCTTCTCCCCTACAAGTGTCTTCTGACCCTTGCCAGACTGTCATTGTCAATAAGAACTTGTTCTTAATGTCTTCCCTGGTAAAACAAAGGTAAAATAAAAAACTAAAACACTGACCTGTTGTTTCCTGCTCAGACCGACAGCATCGAGCAGGCGGCGGAGGACCCCGGCCAGGAGGAGGTGGTGCAGCAGTGCATGGCTAACCAGGGCTGGCTGGAGAGTCTCTTCAACTCCTTCATGGAACTACTGGGCCTCAGTGCCAAGGCCTGAAGGAGGACCACAGCCCCACCCTCCAGACTCACACGTCCACCTGCAGTGTTAAGTAGACGGTGGCGAAGAAAAAGAGTCAGACTACAGAGACCGTGTGGATGCTGGGAGAGGCTCCAGCATGAACAGCCACTGTGGGTTTGTTTAACTTTGAACGTGTTTGTTTTCTTATTGAATCCATGTTAAAGTTCCTCTGATTTCAAGACGGAGGCTCGTGAACTATGTGAATGTGATGGATTTTCCTCAGACCACGAGGTCAGTGTTACAGAAGAGACTTTGTCAAGACCTGCAGAATATTAACACACACAGACACACACAAACACACGTGCATACACACACACACACACACGCACATGCACGCACACACACACATACACACACACACACACACACACACACACACATGCGCTGTCTATAAGTATGTATTGATAACTATGGTTTGTATAATTTATACAAGGACATTTTTAAAATGACTGTCTTCAGATGAGATTGTTTGCCGTTATTATTTTTGAAAAATGCTTTAAAGGGGTGAACATGAAATGACCCAGACGACAGGTGAGACCAGAGCGGAGTGAGACCGAGGTCAGGTTCAGGACTATGTGATAGTCTCTTGGTTCTACCTGCCTCACTGAGACTGAGATGTATTTAAACTAAGCTGTGTTCTGTTTGTTCTTCAAAAGACGAGAGGAGATGTCATGGCTGTAAAGACGAGGAGGGAAAAAATAAATCAACTTCCTGAGAGGAAGTGTGAGGAGAAATGATCCAAAAGCATCAATGTCAGTGTTTAATGTGAGTCATTTTTATCTGTTTGTTGTGGACTGATATTTCCTATGATTTGATGTGTACATATTGTACAGTTACTTCATTCTCTAGTTCCCAGTTGCTCTTCTGTACATGAAATTCCTGTATTTGACATAATGAAATAAAACTGTTCAAATGACAAACGTGATGATGAATAAACGACCTTGTGCTAAAGTCATTTCACTAAAGTGTGAGAATACATGAGGACGTGGACGTGCACTAAAGAGTTTGATCACTTAGCAGCTTGCATCTGAAGGTCCAGGCTTTTTTCTCCACAACCCGTTTAAAATATACATGAATGAAAATAAGTAAATCTGCTAAACAGACAGAATCTACTCTGCTAACAAAACAGGACCTTAACTCAACTAACCGACCTGACAACATGAGACAGGAGGGAGACATATACACTGACTGATCTGTGTTTAAGCAGGCTCCACCCTCGGACACCTCTTTAAAAGCTGACATTGATAAACTTTGGGAGAAGGGATGATGTTGTTCTAACTGGGCTGAGACTGGGGCACTGTGGTCTAGCTAGCTATTTGAAAGTCATAGGTAAGCATACAGGTGGTCTCTGTGTGCAGTGTGGAAATATGGAGACAGCCATCATGTTTTATTCTCATATAACAAACAAGTGGCAACCTCCAAGGCTGAAACATGAATCCAACACAGAAGTGAAGAAATCTTCAGTTCCTATAATGACCACTAGAGTCTGGCTCCAACAGTGAGTCAGTCTCCATAGACTCCCATGTTAAAATGTCCATCTTTACAGCAGAAGTAAACATGTTTACAGTCTGGTACAAAAACAGTTTTGGTCTCTAGAGCTTATTTCCTCCTTCATGACACCTGTTTATAATAACTCACCTGTTTACATTTTATTAAGGCTTAAAGTTATGTAGAATTGAGGGGTGGGCCTCTTTGAGTGACAGGTGGGTGAGCGTATGCTTGTCACAAACAGGCATGCACCAAAGTCTCAGCTCCACACACGCCCCTCCTCTTTCACCATTTTGGGATTAGCTGGGAGTTAGGGGGCGGAGTCAGGCCCTGCCAAGATGCCAGAGTGGCTCATTCTGAGCTTCAACACCGCTCTTTAGAAACCTGTGGGTGACGTCACAGAGGCTACGTCCATCTTTATTTACAGTCTATGGTCACAAATTCAACAGTTATTTAGGGAGTTGGCACATCTGGGTCTCTATTCTTTTTCTTTCAAATCTATGTTTTCATCTGAAGCAAATTATGACAGAATGACAGAACAATGTAACCCAACTGTGTGTCAAAATTTGAAGGTAAACTAACTGTGACTGCAAAGAAAACTAAGACTGTGGTGATACTGTGGCAAGGAGCAGAGTTAGTGTGGAACAGCTCACACTGTGAGGAGAACAGAGGAGCAGCAGTGACCTCCTCAGAGACACAGGGGCAGGACAGACAGGGAATAAACCAAACTGTTGGTATCAACCTGCTCAGGATGTTTTCTCACCCTCTGCTGAAGCTTAGCTCAGCTACAGCACCTGTGCAGGTGAGGAGTGCAGACTGTAGAGTGGATGGCTGGAGTAAATCCAGGGCTTAGAGAGTGAGGGAGGGAGGGAGGGAGGGAGGGAAGGTGAGGGGCAAAAAGAGAAATGAGATTACACATCCATTACTTGATCAGAGTGAAGACGAGAGGAGCTGTCAGAGTCTGAGTATACTTCTCTTTACTCCATCAACAGGTGAGTTTATACTGGAGCTCTCTACAGGAAGTGCTCTGTTTTCATCAGTGCTTTACTGCCTGGTGTATGTTGTTAAAATCAACTAAAACTGTTGAGCTGTGTGGGAGAAAAATGCACTGGTTGTAGATGTAAATGACCTCTGCTGAGAAATTAGTCAGACGTTCATTGTATTCTGTTTGGACGGTAACTGTGTAACTATATACCCTCATTTCCCAATGTGTCATATCATGTAGGTTTTTAGATGCCCCAAGAAGCTCAGCTTTGGAAAGGGGCTGTGAGTTTGTAAGCAACTGGGAAAAACATTAAAACTCAGACACCAGAGAGCAGTCTGACCTTGTGGTGATCTGATGACTGTCATTCTCTGTCATGGTCATGTCAGACATTTTAAAACCTTTTCAGCTGCTGTGGAGAGTTTGTGTTCAAACTGGTTAATATTTGTTTCAGTGGAGACTTTTATTATATGTTTTTCACACCTGTCATCTTACTGATTACTTCCAGTGATATTTTTCCGCATGTTGGATATATTATTGATAGCTCTTTAGTTATTATTATTATTATTATTTAACTATCAAAACACAGACGCTTCACACTAACAGATGTGGTACTCTGTGTGCTGTCAGGTTCCTCTTCAGACATGGTTCCAGATGTGGAGAGGATCATTGAGAGCATCATCCGAGGAGACCAAGACACTGTTTGGCTCCTCCTGGACGGCTACAACACCCAGGTCACTCACTGTTGCCATGACTACTGCATCAGTTTGTAACTAGAACTATATTCATGTTCGTAACCATGGAAACAGTCTGTGTCAGTACTAAACTCTTTTTGCTTAAAGGGTAAAATCCTCTTTGTGGAGGAAAACGAGTGGATCTGATTGGCTGAATGACATGGTCTGAGATAATAGTTCAGTTGTGGAGGCTGTGTTCACTTCACTGTTCAATCTCTGGTTGGTTCTCTTCTTCTGCTGTCTCTCTTGTCACACTCTGTGCTGCTCCATTAGTACTGACATCAATTTGCCAAAGCTATATGACTTATTATTGAACAATTAGACTTTAATGAGGAAAAAAAATGGATCATTAATTAACAAGACAACGGTATAATTCATTGAACATATGAAGGAGGAGACAGACATCAGCCCAGAGAGTTCATGGTAGGTTTTATCCAGATGTGGTCAGGTCTACACTCAGCTGTGTGCTGAAGGGTTTCTGGACTGTTGTGGAGGAAGTCACATTCATGGTCCACCAGTGAGGAAGTCTCTGTTTTCTGTTTCTTCTTCATCACTTGGTTTTTGTAGCAGCATGCTGGGAAACCATCAGAGGCCTGAGGCCTGTCAACAGTCTCAGTTAAGCCTGGGTTTACCTGTCCAGGTACGAGCTCGTTCATGTGAAAGAGGAAGAGTTTTTAATTATAAGCAACATCATCAGAATCATGAATTGATACTGATACTGTTACTGATACCTGCAGGTGAATTCAGTTATAGTGATGTCATAAAGAGAAATTCAACAAGGTGAAATGTAACAACATGATCACATGACTAGAATAAAAGAGAAACACTAGAAATCATTTCTAATTATTAAAGTCAGACTAAGGATATATGGTAAATAAGTGCATGAATTATCATGAAGTTTCTTACTCGGTTTTTTCTCTTCAGTCAGTGAACAAACTGTTATGATAAAACAGTTAGAGTTCATGTCAGACTGTTTCTGCTGCAGAGAGGAGAGAGAGAAAAGAGAAGTAGTTGATGTCTGATGAGTCAGTCTGACTGAAATGTTCATTCATAATGATGGAAATATTGAACAGTGTGTGGATCATTGTTGGTTTAGTTTTTATTTCTCTTCATGTTGTTCTGAGCTGCAGTGATGAAGAGGAGAGTAAAAGCTTCATCACTGTCAGGAATCCTGTCCATTAAAGAATCTGTGTTCAGGTCAAATGAAGCTACAATAGTTATTATGTAGTTATTTAGTGATAAACTCTCCTCTGTTTGTTAGAGGCTCTGTTTTAAAACCAGAGTGGACACATTGAAAGACACAAACAGCAAAACCATCCACTGATTTATAAAATTTCTACTGGCAGTTACCATGGTGATTTACCCAGGTAAGAATTGAACCACCATTGTAGGACTGAAAACCCAGAGTAAATGTGTCCAGGTGGAGATCAGTCACTGCATGTGTTCTAATTCCTTACTGTAGGTTTTCAACATGAGTGTGTCCTCGGTAGAGAAGTGACGACCGATGAGCTACTTTAATAATCAGCTTCCTGTTTGTGGGGTTGTCAGCGTATCTCAGAGTTACTGACTGTCTTGCAGCTTTTGACCTGTTGACTGACTGACCAGTTGATCTGCTGTTCCTCTGTTTCTCCTCAGTATGCAGACTGCTTCTTTTTCAACACTGAGGTTCAGGAGAGGAAAAAGGTCAGTACTTCCTGCCTCTGTCTACTCCATCATTCCTCTTGTTGTTTTTACATCAGTGTCTTTCTCACCCCGACCCGGTATATGTCCCTCCC